TGAGCAGGAAACTAGCTCAGTCCTCTTTTCAGCTACTCTTGCTCCAGATGCTTCTATCCACTGGAGACAGTCCAGATTCTGGCCCGCCAGCTATGTTCACTGCTGCATGGGGTGCAGCTTCTCTGCAGATGCCAGGCAGCGTCTGCCCTCCATTAGATGCCCCCTACCAATGCCCTAAGTCTTTCTGGGGAAAGCTGGCTAGCACATTGATCTGGGTGTGTACACGGCTTTTTCAGCACCCCTGGAGTGGAAGAGGGGGTTACTGGTACAGGCTAAGCCCAGGGGGACCACTGAGAACATTCACCTGGCCTGTCTGCTGACTGTCCATTCCCAGTGAGGACCCCTGGGTGGTGGCTGGGAGGAGGGCAACTCTATTGTGCTGTGCACGGGATGCTAAGGGCTCAGACTTTTAGTGGGGACTTGGGTCAGTGAGCCCAGCCTCATTCTTACAATGCAGGTCTGCGGACAAGTTATACGACCTTTGTGGGCCTCGGTGTGTGTATAAAGTGCTTTGTAAACGGAAAAGTGCTGTGCAGGCCTGGGTAATCTCCTCATGAACCAGCTTTTTAATATGAGGTGTTCTGTGATATTAGTCAAAAGGATCCATATAAAGTAAAAAAAAAAAAAAAAAAAAGTAAAATAAGCTCATTGTTTGTAAAAGTATTTAGAGTTGTTTATTTTGTTGTAATCAATATGAATAGTGATTCATGTTCACAAAAAACAGCAATTATGGGTGTGACTTAGAAAAATGGTTTCGGGTCAGTCATCTGACTAAAGGGGAGGCTGAGAGCCCCTCCCCCACCTCCGCCGTCTGCCCTCTGCTCTGTGCTAAGATCCCAGGAAGGGCTTGTCTCTGTGGTTCTAGCACTTAGAACCAAACCACAGGAGGAGGCGAAGCTCGTGAATCAGGCAACAGGCCAACACTGTGGAGATGAGTAAACCAAGTTTGGGTGTGGCCACGTTGGTTAAATGTTCTGGCATTTGCTGGTTAGCTATGATTCTGATGTTCCCAGAACAAAGTGAGACAGCTCTCTTTACCTTTGGTTCTTTTCTTAGGGGTTCCTTAAGAAATTTAAGTCCCTGCATATAATCTTACGGTACGTCGGAGGACTGTTTCTTTAGATGTTGGACATTTAACTTCTGTCGGGAGGGCACAGAGGATCCCAAGCTTGGCGGCTTCTAGGAATGCCTAGGACAAGGCAGAGCTTTTACAACACCTACAGCGCCTCCCCCGTACAGAGCTCCCCCGCCTGAGCAGTGACTGCCTGTCTGCAGGTCCTTAACCGCCTGGCACCTGGGAAGGGGCTGGAAACTCCCAGTCAACCTGTTACAAGGGGCACCCTGACCAACAGAGAGTGGAACTGGGAAATTGGACCAGTGTCCTTAACCTCACAGTTCCTCATATAAGGACCTGGGGGAGCACTGGTCCCGGCTAGGCGGAGGGCCGCCTTGTTCCTGAGCACCCCCACCCCATGCCACTCAGGCCTCTCGAAGACACCCTGGGAACCCAGGGCTTCCTAAGTGCTCCTTCTCACCTGACACTCTCAGGCGGTTTTAATTCTGTTACTGTGCCAAGCGTCTTTCAAGCTGTGAGCACGGGGAAAAGGTGTCTTGGAGTGTGTCCCATTCTACTGAACATCACTTTTCACAGCTGCACCCCTGTCTCTGACGTCTTCGTGCACTTTCCAAAAACAAGTTTGTAGGTTCCAGTCACTCATTAATCATCCTCACAAGTGGCCTTGCTATGAGTTAAAAAAAAAAAAAAAAAAAAAAAAGGCCTGTTTGGGAAGGGGGCTTCAATGAGGGGCTCTTTCCATTAGAGACCTAGTTATAATCAAAACTAACAGAAGGCGACTAGATAGACCCTTTATGCGTTATTCTTGGGCCCCGGGATCTATATAATAACACCAAGAACTAGGATTCGGGGCTCGCTCTACTTACAGTATAGACTTTGCCACTTGCCCGTGGCTGGAATGGTTCTGAGGCTTGGCCATCTCACGGGGTCAGCTGGACTGAAACACACTCAGAGGCGCTGGTGTCCCATCTGGAAGGGCGTTAGCACAGCAGGTTTCTCTAATGTGCTACCACTCTGTGCAATAAGAAATCTCCTGGGCACTGACTCTTATTATTTTATTGCTGGTATCGTTAGTTTGTTCCTAGGACTAAAAGTAGTCGCTTCTTACTCCCTGACAGTCTCCTGCCACCCACAGCTTCTGCAGCCAGCCCTTCCCAAGGTTTCTCTGGTCATCCCGTTTCTCTGCTGTTTGAACCTATTGTTGCCCCACTTCCTTCCTGCTGTAGAGAAGGACAGGAAGGCCTGGGTGACTTGTATGGGGACTCTGGCGACCAAGGGAACAGAGTGGCTGACCAATAGTGTTGGTCTGCATTTCCAGCAAGCCAGCAGGGCTGCTTGGGGTGGGGGGGTCTGCACGTGGGTGCCCTTGGTGCTCCCATACACCGGGGGCGCTACACCGGGGGCACTATCCTTACCATTGGCATGTTTCAGATGAAGCTTGAGACACAGGGCTAAGCAACTTGCTCTAGATCCCACAATAAGTGGCAGAGCCAGGAATTGAACCAGGTGCTTTTTTGTTTTTTAAGATTTTATTTATTGGGATGCCTGGGTGGCTCAGGCGGCTGAGCATCTGCCTTCAGCTCAGGTCATGATCCCAGGTCTGGGATGGGGTCCCACATCAGGCTCCCTGCTCAGCGGGGAGCCTGCTTCTCCTTCTTCCTCTGCCTGCTCCCCCTGCTTGTGCTTTGTCAAATAAATAATATCTTTTTTAAAAAAGATATTATTTATTTATTTATTTGAGGCAGGGGGGCCCGGCAGACCAATAGGGACAAGCAGACTCCCTGCTGAGTGCAGAGCCTGCTGCTGGGCTAGATCCCAGGACCCTGAGATCAGGACCTGAGCTGAAATCAAAAGTCAGATGCTTAAGCTACTAAGCCACCCCGGGTGCCTCTGAACCAGGTGCTTTAATTCCAGAACCCATTTAACCCCTTTCCTGCATGGTTTTGTGGAGCTGATACCTAGAGACCGGATGGCTGCCTGGGGGTTGGGGAGAATGCAGATGGCTTCCAGGAAATGACACCTTTTCCCTGTGCCCTGCCCTGGGAGATGTGGTCACAGGGTTTAGGATGGTTAGTAGCTCTAGGATTTGCCTATCTAGATTGGAATATTCAAACTGAAGTCTCAAAGACGGCTATTTTATTGTCTGTTATTCTCATCTGTGAAGTTAAAACTAAAATTATAATTGCTTTCCATGATAAATTCTGTAAGTTCCGTACTTGTTTATGCAGAACAGTGTAAAATTATTTTCTTCAGTGAATTTAACTTTCAAGAATTAGGAATTGTAACATAGTAACATATTTAAAAAGAGGTATAGCAAGAAAACAGGTATTAAAATGTGGGCATTTCAATCTCTTTGAAAGTTATTTTGGGAAACCTAACGATGCTATCCGTCAAAGCTTGGAAAGCTTTGCGCTGTGTTCGTCTTAATCAAAGTTGAAGCCTGGTGAATTCCTCCCACAGCGGTCACTCCAGACATCTACTCAGCCTCTCTTCTCTGTGGCCCCTACCCTCTCAACTAGGTCGGATCCTCCTCCGGTACCTCCTCTGTCCGCCCACCCTCCGAGTTAACCCTTTCCTTTACGGGCCCCCTCCTGTGAAGCCTGGTGCTCAGGGGCGCCCGGTCCACAGTGGGAAGAAGGTCCGTGCGCACGGGTCTTGCGCTAACATGCTGGCGAGAATTGGATTAGGCGGCAGAGTAGGAAATTGGGGTACTGTAACATCGAAAGGTGAATCTGTGGTCTCGCAAGACCTTCTGGAGCCGCCTTTGCAGAGAATTAGGCCAAGCGATTCTGTTCCAAGTTCGGGTTTGGAGGCGGGGAGGTGGTCTTTCTGAGAAGGAGCTCCTGGGTAGGAGGGCAGCGTCGAAGGACAGGGGGGAAAGGAGGAGGGCGCGCAGTCAGGTTCCAGGCACCGCGGGCACAGGGCCTGGCCAGGACAGGTCAGCGTTCCCATGAAAATCTGCCCCAGCCTGGCGAGGTCAGGAAACGTGGCGTTGCTCTGCCCATTGGACTTTGAAAAGAAAGAGCCTCCTCCTGCGGCTGCAGGAGGCGCGTGCGGGGAAGGCCGTTGCCATCTCTCCTCTCGGCTCGGCCCCTGCCTCGCACCATCCTCCCGGCCGCGCTGCAGCCCCCCCGGATCCGCGCCGAACCGCTGGCACCCCAGCTTTTCGCTGCGCCGGCTTGCTGAGCTGGAGGCGGGCGCGGTTGGCGCGGTTTTGGGGTTCTGGAAGCCGGCCCTTCTCGGGGTGACCCGTTAACGGGGTACCCCCGCCGGCAAGTGCTGCTGTGCTCGGGCGGAGGTTGCGGCAAAACGTAGAAGCTCAGTTTGGCCCGAGTTCTAGGGACGTCGCGGGGTGGGAGCCTCGGGGAGCAGGGCGCAGACAGCTCCGGGGCGGGGCGGGGCGGGGGCGGGGTCAGGGCGGCAGTCCGCCCCGCCCCCGCACAGGCCCCGCCCCCGTGCAGGCCCCGCCTGGCGCTGGCTCCTCCTCTGAGAACCCCTCCCCCGCGCAGACCGGCACAGGCCCCTCCGCAAGCGGACCCCTGCCCCGCGTGGGCTCTTCCGGCGAGCCCCCTCTTCCCACGGCCCCTCAACTTGCCCTTCCCCGACTTTGGGCGCGCAGCCGGGGCGGGGTTGTGGGCGGAGCCGGCTTTTTTTCTCCCCCGCCCACCTCCGCCTTTCCGGTATCTGGAGGAGGGGGTTGGGCGGTGATTGATAACCGCGCAGCTGGGGCGCGGGGCGGGTAGGACGGGGCGCACGGGCTGAACGGGATTGGGGGTGGGCGCGGGGGTGGGGGTGGGGGTGGGGGAGGACCCGCGGGGGCGGGGGGGCGCGCGCGCGGCTGGGCGGGGGACCCTCGGGGGCGGAACGCTCCCGAGGCGGCCCGGGCTCCTCGGCCCCCGGGCGCCCCCGCCCCCGGCCCGGCCAGCCCCGGCCACCTGCGCCCCGCCCCGGCCGCGCCCGAGCCCGGGAAAGGCGGAGACGCGCCTCTGCTCTGGGAAGGGCGAGTTCCCGTTGCGGGCGCGCTCTGTCTCCGGGAACAGTAATCCCGCCACTCTGGGGATGCGGCTGCGCTGAGAGCCTGCCTGCCCGCGGATCCGAGGAGTTTACCGAGTCTCTTTCCCGGTTGTTCGAGAAGGCGGACTTATAGCTGGGCAGGATGACCAACCCTGCGGCCACGCAGAACAAGGAAATAGACTGTCTGAGCCCAGAAGCTCAGAAACTGGTAAGAGGAGAGCACGTTTTCCAAACTTTCGCTTTGCTTCTGTTTGCCGTTCTAAGGCTCGGGGCAGCGGGCACCTTGCGCCGCAGTCGTCTGTGCCTGGTGAAGTGCGGGGTGGGCTCCGCGTGGCCGGCGCTCCCTGAAACGAACGTCCCTACGCTACGATGCGCGGGCGGGAGCGGGCTCTGCTGTCGGGGGCGTTCGCGGCTGCGTGTGCACTGTCCTCCTGGAGCGCTGGAAAACACATTTTACTGGACGAAGCCGCCCCTCGCCGGGACCAAAAGAAACTCGGTCGCTCCCCTGTGCCTGTAGTGGCGGCCTTGGACGTGCTTAACCCAGCCGGCGATGGCCGTGGGTCCAGCCCAGGTCTCAGACCTGCGCGTGGTCGAGTTTCAGTCGCAGCTGCTGGTTTGGTGTTTTACAAAATACAGCCCCTGAGAACTGGTGCCCGAAGCCGGTGCCCTCACCCCGAGGCTGGTACCACCAGTGGCCGGGGTAGTTTGGGGTACTTATCTTGCTCTGGACCTTAGGACCAGTGGGGCTGAGCCCGATTGCTCCAAATACCTCCAGGGTCTCCGGTCACAAAATCCACCTTGGTTAGTCTCCTGGGGTCTCCAGGTCTGGGCAGGATCCTCCATGCGTGGGATTTTGCAGTTATCCAGCTCAATACCCACCCAATACTGGGGTCCATGTATATAGGGATAGTTGGGCCTTAAAATTGGTCATGGGGTAAGGTAGGGGAGTTTTGTAATTACCCATTTTCTGGCAGCTTGTGGTTGACTGCGAATGGAAATATAAAGGCAGAAGGGTGCACTTTGGAAAAGAACCATGAGGTCGGTACTGCAGAGACCCTACCTAGATTTTCACTTTTCCTGGCTTTTATGGAAGCCTTGATAGAAGTGTGAGCAGGACACAATCACTCCTTCATCAGGCAGAAATTAATCATCTACTAGGTGTTTGTGGAGGATCCAAGGTAAATAAGACCGCCCTGACCTTGGGGAGCTTCCTGGTAAACGCCAGGGAGAGGCATAGAAACAGACTTTGATGAATCCACACTTGAAGGTTGCTTTCCTTGCTGAGTACTGTCCGGTGGATGTTTTTAAAGTTTGGGTTAGTGTGCTGCTTCTATGGCCTCGGTTAAAGTTCCTGCCATGAGCCAGACCTTTGGAGCTGGTTCCCACCCCTTCACCTGGCTGGTGGCTGGGGGCCTGGGAGCTTACGGAGAGATCCTTATGTCACCATCAGGGAAGGGCCCTCAGAAGAAGAAAGGAGGAGAAGCTTGCTGGGAGATGCTGGGGTTCTGCAGAGCCGCCTAGACAAACCATAGATGGCCAGAGCAGGGTGCTGTTAGCCCTGGACAAGAGTCGAGCTCAGAGGGACGAAGTGCTGGGCAGGGAGCTGTTGATGGAGAAAAGAGTAAACATGGAGAACCAGGATGTGAGCACAGGAGGGACAGGCCATCGGAGGAATGAGAAGTAACGTGGGCTGTCTGTGGCGCTGGCTGCCAGGTCCCATTAACCCATGCACACTTCATCGAGGAGCTGTGGGTGTAAGTCACAGGAGAGTGTGGAGTGCGCTTTGATTGACGTGCTTCACTGTACCCCCAATTCGAGGATCCAGTAAGCTCTGAAAACTGAAAATTGTTTTTGTTTTGTTGGTTGTTTTTTTTTTTTTTTTTTTTTTAAGTCTGTGGCAGAATTCATTTGGCAGGGAGGCCTGCCCTGGCTGATGGGAGGCTATTTTCTGTCTTTATCCCCCTCATTGTGAATATTCATACATTTCTCTGCAGCCTGGGGATGTCCTTGGCTGAGGGCTGTTACTCTGGTGATTACGGACTATAAGGGCCTATGCAACATATTACCCTTCTAAAATCCAAAAACGTTGAATTCTGAAACCTATTTGGCCCCGGGGGTTTCCAGTAAGAAGTTGTAAACCTATTATAGGAGTTTTGTTTTGTTTTGTTTTTTAGTAAATAGCAGCAAAAAGTATTTTAGAGTGGGGCATGGGAAATAGAAGTAAAACTCAGTTCTTCTTTTATGAGGTTAAGGGTCTGGTTAAAAGAAGTGCTGAGGGGCACCTGGGTGGCTCAGTCAGTTAAGCGTCTGCCTTCAGCTCAGGTCATGATATCGGGGTCCTGGGATCGAGCCCCACATCGGGCTTCTTGCTCAGAGGGGAGCCTGCTTCTCCCTCTCCCTCTGCCTGCTGCTCCCCATGCTTGTGTTCTCTTTGTCAAATAAATAAATAAAATCTTTAAAAAAATAAAAAATAAAATAAAAGGAAGTGCTGAATGGCCAGTTGGGGGGTGCCTTACACAACAGTGAGCTCTGGCCCTGGAGCTCTGTGAGTGTAGAAACCATACATTTCTTTTAACTTTTGTAACTTCCTCATGCTTATGACGGGTTGTGTCACCTCTGGTCTCTTTCCACATACTGATTAGCACTAAGCCCTCACAACCACTGGTCCTGTCCTGAGGACAGCCTGTCTGGGCCGAACGTGGACACGGTCTCCCAAGCCCCATGTCATCATTGTAGGTAGCTGTGCCAAGGTCCCCAGCTCTTGGCGAGCGGGAGCATTGACCAGTGTGGGGGGTGCAGTCAGTGCAAAGGTGGTAAGCCCGGCTGTCGCTCAGTCTGAGATTTTGAGCCCTGGAAATCTGCCTTGTTTTAGATGGGTCACTTTCCCAAGCAGTTAAGACACAAAAATAGTGAAGTAAGGTCTTTTCTTACAGGATTAAGAGTGTTCCCCTAGGGCAGAGATGGCGACTAAATTTCCCTTTTGCTTTAAGAGTTACTTTCTCTTCAGCCTGAGCTAATTCAACATAGTGGAAGCCTCCTTAGCAAATTAAAACAAAACAAAACAAAAAAAAACAACCAACCCTGCAGTCTAAACTGCCACTTATAGGGAGCACAGGAAATCAAGTTATTTATAGTTGCAGAACTGTTCTCAAGTGAAGTTGATTGGAGTCTTAGCTGATTAGAGGTCCTTATCTAGTTTCTACAGAATTGTGGGGGCAAATGTTGGTGCAACAAGTGTGCTCCTCAAAAGGCAATGTTCAGGAGGAATTTGTTATCCCTGAAAAATCAGGCTATGTGACTCAGCAGAGGCATTGTTTATGACTAGTTACTCAGTGTTTCCAAGTATCTGTTCATATTTAAAAGTATTAATCTTGGAACCTCAGAGGCCATAAGGTTCAAATCACTAACCTGTTATCGATTAAGCCTGTTACACCCCCACTACAGGTTGGAATGGGGTAGGGAGCAAAGGAGTTTTTATTACCTACAGCTTTTACTTTGGGCCACCAAAATCTTGTTTTTGTTTTTTTAAATAAAGAAACTAATTTTCATGGAACGGATTTACTAAATTTTCATTATTTATTTTCTAGATAAAATTACATTGGCTTCTTTTTCCACGTTGTTAAACAACCATTTTTTACTACATCCATGATGTAGTAATTCAGAATTGCCATGCATTTGATTGAGACCACTACTAAAATCCCCTTCCCCTGGCCAAATTCCAGAATAAATAAACAAGAAAACCAACAACAACACAAATGTGTATTCTGAGACTCATACATTCATTTGGGTGAGAGCCAGAGTTCAAGTGGTTTTCTCCTTAATACAGTAACTCGACAGTTCTAAAGCCATGTAAGTGGTTTTGCCTTGAGTCGAAAAGCACAACTACTTTGTAGTAGGGAAGCAATTTATCTTAAATTACTGTAATGAGGACTTTTAATTATAACCAAAATGTTTCATTTGTATGTTTGTGTAATCAGACTTCTCAAAGCAACCTCATTTCTGATCCTCATGTCTTTTTTATTTTGTGGCAAATGGGTGTGTAATCTTCCAAGGGGAAGAGAAATAGAGTGGCCTTTTGGTGTGGGCTGGGAACCTCCCCTCCCTCCTCTGAAATTCCCCTGTGCCCATTCTCCTGGTGGGTGCCTCAGCTTGCTTGTCTTCTCCCAGTGCCTTTATTTTTATTATTATTTTTTTGAAGATTTTCTTTGTCAGAGAGAGAGAGAGCATAAGCAGGGGGAGAGGCAGGCTCCCCTCAGAGCAAGGAGCCTGGTGTGGGGCTCGATTCCAGGACCCCGGGATCATGACCTGAGCTGAAGACAGACACTTAAGCAACTGAGCCACCCAGGCGCCCCTCTCCCAGTGCCTTTGAACTCAGTCTGAGCTGAATTTGCCCTGCTGGATCCCTAGCTGCTGTAGGGGATGCTGTGTAAGTATTAATAGCAGGCAACATCCCCAGACCCTGCAGTGTCAGCCCTGCTAAATGTTTTCTGTAGACAGCTTCCCTAACCCTTGCCAGAACCTTGTTTGGTTATCTCCACATACAGATAAAGGGGAAACTGAGGCTCAGAACCGTCAGGGGACTTTCCCAAGTGCACCCAGCTAGCAGGCGGTAGAGCCAGCTCAGGCCCAGGCCTGCTGACTCAGAGCTGGTGCTGATACTTGTCACCACTGTAGCCTTCACGGAGGGTCTGGCGAGCAGCTACTGCTGTGAGCTTCTCTCTGCAGCCCCTGGGGTTTCACATCCCCATGTGGGGCGGAAGCATTTCTTGTTACTGAGGCAGCCTCTTAGGACACATGGCCTTGCCCCCGAATGCATAGTGAGACATTTTCATTTTATCAGACATATCCTTTCTCTCTGATAGTTATTAGACAAAAGAACTTTCCTTTTTTTAAGATTTTTTACTGGGCCGCCTGGGTGGCTCAGTCAGTTAAGCGTCTGCCTTCAGCTCAGGCCATGATCCCAGGGTCCTGCGATCAAGCCCCACACTGGGCTCCCTGCTCAGCGGGGAGTCTACTTCTCCCTCTCCCTCTGCTCCTCCCCCCACTTTGCTCACTCGCTCTCTCTCCCTCAAATAAATAAAGCCTTTTAAAAAAGAAGATTTTTTATTCATTTGAGGGAGAGAGAGCGAGAGCCCAAGCAGGGGGGAGGGGCAGAGGGAGAAGCAGACTCCCAGCACAGCAGGGAGCCCTACAGGGGCTCCATCCCAG